TGGCTGCCCTGTGTTTGCCGAACCCATGCTTCACAGGGCAGTCATGTTTACAGTTGATCGGCGCTCGCAAAATGGCTTCACTATGGGCGATCTTTGCTGGACGACGAGGTATTTTCCGCATTGGAACGCATTAAACGGGTTTCAATGCATTCCAATGGGGAAGATGATTTCACATGATGATGATTTTGCTAAAAAGTGATTTTCCCAGAACGGATTATTGTCGTCATGTGGGGCACCTATGTATGTATGTATGTATGTATGTATGTATGTATTATGTATGTATGTATGTATGTATGTATGTATGTATGTATGTATGTATGTATGTATGTATGTATGTATGTATGTATGTATGTATAGCCTGCCCTATATCACAGGATTTCAGTGCTGAATTAAAACACTGACCTGAAATTTAAAAAGGCATTTTTGTAGACCTATGTGTAAACTCATGTGTAAACACACGGTTCTGATGCTGACACAACCACAATCCCACTGGAAGTTTGAAGGTCTGTAGTGATTTTATACTACAAACATATTTCGTATATAGGGCTGTACTAGCATGCATAGTAACTGAAGTTTGATTGAAAAGTGGGTGTGTGCCAGAAATGATAATAAGCAAAGCGTGCTGCTTATATACCATCCCATAGTGCTTCAAGCACTCTCTGGGCAGTTTCTAAGTTAAGGGTGCAGGCTACACATTGCCTCCCCCCCCCCCAAGCGAGCTGGGTACTCATTTTACTGACCTTGGAAGGATGGAAAGCTGAGTCAACCTTGAGCCGGCTACCTGGGATTGAACCCTAGGTCATGAGCACAGTTTTAGCTGCAGTACAGCAGATTAACCATTGCGCCACGAGGCTCTCAAAAAAATCAGTTGAGAAGCATGCAAGTTTGTTCATGACTGGAACCTGATTAATATGATTCCTTGCTGGAGAGATGCTGTTTTGTATATACGGGTATGCATGTGAGAGTGATAGATTCATATACAAGAGAGAGAGAAAAAGCTGTGCTATTACTTTGAGCTGAGGATGGTCTGCTTTGGTGAAGGAGTGAAAATAGTACATTCTAAATGGAACTTGTGTCAAAACAAGCATGCATCTCTATATATAGATATATAGAGCTGAATACATTTAAATTCTGAAGAAAGAAATTTTGGTGGTATGATAAAGAACCTGACAGTTTGTAACCTTAAGCCGTTTTATTCTTGTGTTTCTTTTTAAAAAACAACCTTTTTGTTTATAAACCCTGTTTAGAATAGAATAGAGACAGCCACAAGACATTATGCTCATTCTTCCTTAAAAATGTCTCAGTGAGAACTTAAGTAGCAGTTATCAAGAAAGGGGTGGACTCTGGGAAACTTGTAGCTATTTTCCTCTGTGGGTCTGTATATTTCTACTCTATAGTAGGGAGGAGCAGCTGATGCCTCTCGCAAATCACGTTGAGCTCAATAAATGCCACCAAAAATAAAAAATTAAAAAAGGGAGAAGGCAGGTCCTCTGCTGCTTCTTTGCCTGCCATGTTTGGGCATTTTTGGGTCTGTAAGAGACGCAATTAAGTTCAAAGGTAGTTCAAGCCTAGTTATGGAAGGGGAAGGGCTATGGATTTTCCAGCTTTTCTGACATTGTTTCCCTGACCGACCAGGAGAGCTGGAAATGTGTGTAACAAGGAAGTTACCCATCTGGAACAGCCTGCCAATTTGCTATCTGTTGCAAAGAATTCTGACAGCAGGCTAGAAATTATTTTAACTCACGTCAATGGAGCATCCAAGGAGGGAACCTTTTTGAAGAGCTTTCTGGATGATTTTGAAGAGGTTCGGTGGTGCTTTTCGCAGCTCATACCATTCTGCAATTCCACCAGTGAAGTCCTCAAAGCCTTCAGTAGTGCTTCCCCCAGAGAGTGCCTCATATGATCCATTTATTCTACAGAAAGATAATCCATGGAATTTAATATTTCAAATTTTCTCCTTTAACTGTAGTAGAGTTAAGATCCCATCTTATCACGATTTGCATTATTTTTTTTCTTTTTATTGCTGAAAAGCCCATATTCAATACAGAATCTATCATGATTTTGTTACACACTGATCTGATCATGAACCTTGCTTGTATTGTATCATTAAGCAATAATAATTAGTGTCAGCTAGCTGGATAGCTCGGCGAGTTAGGTATCTGACTGCGGAGCCAGAGGTTGGGAGTTCAATTCCCCACTGAGCCTTCTGGGAGTAGAGCCAACCTGTGTGCCTTGGGCCAGCTGCACAGTCTCAGAAACGCCCCCAGAAGAAAGGAATGGTAAACCACTTCAAAGTACTATCTGCTTAGAAAAGCCTGAAAAAGGTCACCACAAGTCAGAATTGACTTGATGACACAACAAATAACACAATTATTGTTAATTTATGTAGCCTGAGAGGAGGCAACCCACTGTCTTCCAGATATTTCAGATCACAACTTGCATAATCTCTGTCATTTGGTCATGCTAAAATATCTGAAAGACACAATCCTTTTTTAATGCAGATGACTATGGTCAAGTGTAGTCAGCTTCTATTTGTACCATATTCAAATAATCTGGACCTATAGTTTTCCCATCAGATTTTGTTGCTTTGTGCAATGCCATGGCAGCATTTTGAGTCTAGAGTGTCAAATATGTATATATCCTATTGTGATAGAATATCAAAATTACAGCAACATGTTTTGTTGTTCTATGGCTCTTAATAGTTAGGATTAATCCAGTTCTTGCTTCATCCTGATACAATTTATATGGGAAACAGATAGTCCATGGGCTACATGTGCTCACCTGTTCATTTTTTCAGTGGAAAAAAAACCATTTAGTTATGGTTGTTGTGGGTTTTCTGGGCTGTTGGCTGTGTTCTTAAGGTTTTTCTTCCAAACGTTTCGCCATTCTCTGTGGCTGGGATCTTCAGAGGACAGGAGTCAGAACTCTGTTTGTGCTCTGTTTGATTTAGTTATCTTTAGAAACAAGGCTTGTGGGGATGTACAGCTTGTTTTAGAACAGTGCTCTTGAAAGCATCCTACTGTAGAAGTTCTATCTTCCTTTCAGAAAAGGCACATTTCACATGCACCTTGTAAAATACAAAGCTTTTTTTTTTTGCTGCTGCCGCTGCTCCTACCAAGCTATTGAAATTGGATAGCACTGGCCCCTTTTCGCTGTGGCCGGGGGGGGGGAGCCCCCCCAACTCCCAGAATGCTATCCACTCCAATGTATATGTTTCGACATGCAATGTTCCAGGAATGGTTTACAATTTACAAAGAAGGAACATACAAAATAAAGCATATAACGACAACAAATAAAACTGGACAGGGGAAAAAAACACCATGAGATAAAACAAAATAGCTGACACTTAATTAGTAATTTAATGAACTACTTTTAAAAACCTGCAAGAGGACAACGGCATCACACTATTTCTTAAAACAGAAATGAGTAACAGTAACAATTCCTGTTCAATAACAACTTCCCATGCTCCAACTAACTTATTAGCAATAATGTTTTCTCAGTTAAAAAGCTTTCTCTTATTCCTACGTACTCTGCAAGGGAGAACATGCAAGATACCTGGGCTGGCTGGTAAGCAAAGCAGCTGCTGAGGCAGAAGGGAAAAGAATATACAGTAGGTGGAGCCAATAGTGACAGACAGAGCCAGGGACAAAGCCCCCCCCCCATACATACAAAGGCATACACATACAGAGCTAGGCAAGCTAGCAAGCTGGACAGTTGGCTATTTACTCATATCCATTCTCTCCTTTCATCTCACCCACCTCTTCTCTCATTCAAACACTCACAGACAGGCAGTGTGCCATCTGGGGGAGGGCGGCCTTTGTCAAAAGTGGGGCAGTGCTTGATTTGCCCTAATGGACAAGATGTACCACCAGAAGTTACCATCTAGTATTTCCCACAAGGAAATCATTAATTTTAACCAGGAAAATAAAATGTAAGTAAAGATTTATTCCTCTAGCAATCTGGCCCTCATCCAGCTCAACTCCAGTTTTTTTGTTTGGGAGAAAGGGAGACTAGTATCAAAACGAACCGTTTCATACTTTGCATTTCATAAAGCAGTTTCCTGATCCCACTTACTTGGCATAAGCCTTTTCTAACAGGGCACTCCAGAACTCACTCCCCTCTGCTGAGTGAACAAAGAGGAGTTCTCCATCTTTGGTAGGTAATCGGTCATCAACCACCACATCTGCCCATTCTCCATACTGCCAGAACTGAAAAGGAGGGGAGAAAATCCAGTCCATGTTGAATGCCAGATACAGGAGCCATGTAGTAGTTGAGGTCAAATCAGATATTGTATGCATCAGCAAGAATTTCCATACATTTTGAGAAAGACTACTCAGTCTCAAAACCTACCATCTTACCTGAAAATTAAAGGGCAGCCAAGATACTCTGTAATAAATGCTATAATCTCTATATCATTTTTGAGGCATAGTTCAAACACTGATGTTTCTATAAATACCTAAAACTCACTCTTGGAAACAGCAAATTGTTTGGTCACGTATGGTCCAGAAATAACCTGAAGACAAACAAGTAGCTTGGACATTCTTACAGACCATAAATCAAACAGTGCCTTGAGCCCCTTTTATTCCTTGGAAAGATACATTTTATATATCTCTTTAATATCTCAAGTTGTTTGTAAATTGTGGATTTACAAGTAGTACAGAAAAAAGGAGTGCATCGTTTACTGAGTCCAGAATGAAAACATTTCAAACAACTACTTATTTATAATTATTTTCATTTTCACTAACAAATGACAACTACACTACATTACAACTGTAATTTTAAATTAGAGGTAACAACCCTCCCTTTCCAATGTAAGGATAACTTTTAACTACTTTTACGGTTAGAGGACGCTGGCTCACTAAACAACAAAGGAGAAATACCAGACAGTTCAAATGCTGGCATGTACCGCACCTACTGTTGAGGAATACAAAAACAAAAATTATAACAATTTAAACATTGTTTAATTCAAATGTTAACTGGTCCTTTGAAATGTATGTGCAATTATGCTTTAGAAATAGTTTTCAAGCTTTGTTTTTGTTTGTTTGTTTGTTTGCTATATGGGATGGTGAATGTACCAGGGACACACTGTTATTAGTGAGGGATCTGGAAAACAAAACATTTGAAGTTGGCATATTTGCTTTGGAGAAGAAGGAATTATCACGTGTAGGAGAGGAGCATACAGGGGGAACATTTTATTTTCGGATTGCAGATCCCAGAATCCCATAAGCCTGGTCAATGCTGCCAGTAGGATTATGAGAGTTTGTCCAAAAAAAAATTAATCTTCCATCTCCAGCAGAGTGTGGCAAACAATTACTTCTTCTTGGGAAGGACTTTACTGTATGTCATTGAATGGGAAGGATGCAATTCCCTGCTCTCCTGCAGCAGTCTCATTCCCTCAAAATCTGTTTAAGATTGGTGGGAGATCCTCCTCATGTCTTCAAGATGTCCACAAATGGTATTTTCTCTAGTCCCATGCTCCTCCATTCGGCAGCAAAAGGCACATTACTTCAAACAGCAGTTGCAGAGTTAATACAGTGGCTGGAGAAAACCTTCCCAGTGGAAGAGAGCTTGGCTAGCAAGACCCTTATTATAATAATTGTAATAGTTTCTGTATCGGAACAAAGCAGAAAGCCAGTATCTCGGTACCTGGAAATGGAAGATCCCTGCATATCTGTCCTGGAAACTCTGATCACTTGGGACAACTCTAGCCAAAACTTCATCATTCAAAGTGAGAGAAGCAATGGCTGCCAGAAGCCAACAGTCGCCTGTGAAATCAATACAAAACAAAAGCATCTCCCATTAGTTTTCTTGCTGCTGAATACATTTATACAAGCTAGAAATTAGGCGCTTTTAAGTCTCATTAATGCTTACTGGAAAGATTTCAGTAAGTGCAAGCCAGAGCAATCCTGTGCTTTCATTACATTGGGTGGGAATATATGCCATCAAAACAGCAGCAGAATTGCTGCTCCTAAGTATGCTTGGTCTGAGAAGGGAAAGACATAGAGAGAAAATTCCAGAATGGTATAATAGTGCCTGACAATTCCACACATGCACACACCCAAATCATTTGAAATACCCAAAGTGCGAACCTAAAAGGGCTGTGCTGGAGATGATATGCATTTGCACATGCAGGGAGTCAATGGTAAATTCACAATAAGAGCTTGAAAAAGATTCTTTTTCAAAGGACAACTATTAGAAGCTCACAACCAGCAACATCTTAACACTTTTCAGGCCGAATGCAATTCTGCTCCAGAATTTGGTGTGTGCTTTGCATGCCCAAAATCATAGTTGGATTGGGGCACTTGACTTTATCATACTGTGCTCAGCCACTGCAAGATAAGAGGCTTCTTTTATTTGTTAAGCTGTCACCTTTCATGCAAATTACACTTTATGCTTGGAGTGGAATATTGTTTGTGTTTCAGGGGAAGCATGCAGTGATTTGACAGGTTGAAGCCAAAGAGATCCAACACAACTCTACACTGGCCTTATTTCATGGTTGCAAGTAATGACATTTCACTTAATTTTCATTATTGTTGCTCTGATAATGCAGGAAATTGCAGCTAGATTAAGCCCCTTTTAATGCTGTTTTTGCTCTGAACAAAAAACTTCTGAATCTTTAAAATGGATAATATTTTGCCAAAGACTAGAGATGAAGATAGCAAGGTACACACCTGTTCACTCCAAAAACGTATGTGAGAACTTCTATGTCCAAAATGGTGACTGCATAGGCAGTGGCACCAATAAAGATCTCACAACAGAACACTATGGACACAGAGTTCATAAGAACATTCTACACTAGAACAGAATATTATAACAACTGGTGGTATCCATCACCAACAATACTGTGTCACATATATGGCACAACCTCACCAAAAGGCTGGATCTCTACAACTATTAAAATATTTTAGAAAAAAGTATTTCAGGATGTATTAAAATCATAAATCAACCTATTGTTGATGATACAAAACTAGCACTGTTATATTTATTTCACAGTGGAAATGCAGATTTACTTTATCAGGAAATGTTCACATGTTTGATTATAGCAGCTGGAGAAATCATAACAAGGAACTAGAAGAAAACTTTAATGATATCATTGATTCTTTGGTGTCACTGCCTATCGACAATATCTTAACTGAAAAAGCAATGAAAACAAGCCAAAGCTTCATGACTGCTCAATCAACATGTACATGACTTCATTGAATGATGGTACTCATCATCTATACTACCAAGAAAGACAATAAAATCACACCACCAATATCACACTGCTCACCCTGGAGAAATACCTGTTGATGAGATATTTCATCTACTCAGTGTAACTCCAGACTCTAAATGGCACATCCTAAAGGAAACATCTATGTTGGCTTGGGCATGTTGTGAGAATGGCTGATGGTTGGATTCTAAAATACAGTGGTGCGTCACTTAACAGGCGCCCCGTTTAACGACGAATCCGCACAGCGATGGCTTTTTTGCGATCGCTTTTGCGATTGCATTGCGATGTTGCCTATGGGGATTTTTCCCCATAGCCCCATTTTCCCCCAGCTGACCAGCGGGGGCTTGGGAAGGACCACGGGGGAGGCCTCCCCCACAGTCCTCGCAAAGCCCTAGCCAGCATTTTCCCCCAGTTGAGCGGCAGGAGCTTCCAAAGCCACTGGCGAAAATGCCGGAGGTGGCTTCGGAACCCTCACCTCGCGGTCCTTCCGAAGCCACCGCCACTCAGCTGGGTGAAAATGCCAAAGGCCCCATTTCCGCACAGCTGATCGGCAGTTCCAAAATGGCGGCCCGCTGTGTTGCCTTGCTTTAGAGGCACTGAAAATGGCCGCCCCTATGAAGGATCTTCACATAACGGTGAGTTTCCCCCCCATAGGAACGCATTAAACAGGGTTGAATGCATTCCTATGGGGTTTTTTGCCCCCTATAGCGACGAATCCAGATAGCGACGATTTATCCAGAACGGATTATCATCGCTATGCGGGGCACCACTGTATCTCCTGTATGGAGAATTAGTGCAGGGAAAGCACTC